GAAAATTTGGGATACATTAAGTTTCATGTTAAATAGCACATGGAATTACTTATACTGCATAAATAAAAAAGATTTGATTACATAAAATGCTTAAATTTGTATTTTCCTTTTTTTTTCCAATGAGGGGTGGTTTTCACCCCTTAAAAACAAAAAGCACACCTAGCGCATGTATAAGTTTTGAAGTGGGGGGTTAGATGAGCCTAATTCTAAATTTTGAGAAAAATCGATACAGTTATAAAAAATTCGGAGGTATTACTATGTTTCCAGCTACAGTAACTGGGCTAGTATACAAACCAAGAGAGACGAAATTGAGGCTGTATATTCCAAGTCAGAGTCAGAGCTATAGTTCATTGGGTATAAAAAGTTCTAGAAGATTAAACTTACTGCATTATTACTACGGCTACTTTAGAACTGATTTTTTTAAAGGCATGTGATGTCTGTTGTCACTTAAAAGAACAAAAACGGTGTTTAATTTTTTAAACAGGATCTCCGAGAATACTATACTATAAGGGACGAATGCAGCAAAGAAATGTGTCAAGGACTTCCTCGTTCAGCACCCTCGACGTAAACGAAATGGGGGTAGAAACGCCGCAAAAAAAAAAAGAACGGTAAAGGTGGATAACCTATTTACCAAATCGAGCACGATGTGGCTTTTTATAAAAACATCGTCGTCAGTGGCGGAGAAGTTGCGGATTTTTCAGAGGGGCGGAAGCGATATGTGGGGTGATTTAGAAGAGATAGAGTATAGCTGAGACACCACGCCATATTAAATGTTTCATGGTTAAAAAAAGGCTCTTCACAGTTATACGAGAAAGAGGGAAAAGGTTCAAGTAACGAAGATGACTTCTGTAACTGCATATTATGGATAATGCAAATATTTGGTGTGTTAGCAATACAGTAAAGATTACTTGAGGGAAAGAAGAGGAAACGATTCGTTATTTTTTCACAGATCCAACTGATGATGATGAGTATTACATTCATAATCCTAATGCCTAGTCCAGATCTACTGCTTCTCCGCCAAACTAGATTCTTCTTTCTCAAAATATTTTAAGGAAGAATTCGTCTTGAAAATTGTCTTCTTCAAACCCTCCCACTTCTCCCTCTTATATTAAGAAATATATACCTAACCCGCAAAAATTCCTATAGCTGCTGCACTATGGAAGATATTCTTTGAAATATTGAAAACGAATCAATGGTATCTTAGACTACTTATACCCTTAAACTTTTTTCGCTGTTTTTGTATAGAGATATTCTTTACAAACATTTGTATGTAAACATTATGAGTAGATCTTCACTAAGTAGGTTTTGGTTTTCCATTGGTAGTGTCCGACAAAAAAACTAAATTCAGTAGAGGGTGGAAGAGAAAAGTCCAAAGATCGAAATATGCTCTTTACGTTTATCGAGATTCCTAGGCATTGCCAAGAGGAATCAATGAATCCTCATCGACATTTCTAGCCGACAGATGACGATAACCCCCTAAATATAAGTACACAGGTACTGCTTGTAGTATTTGTGCGGGACCTCATAGGCTGGGTCATTACGACCACCGTAACTTTGCTTGGTATGGCAAAACTACGTTACTTTAGTCATCTGGAAATATTTGCGAAATGTTAATCATCTAATTGATTTGTAAATGTATTCTGATCTTCGATAACGTGTTTTTTGGTACGACCAGAGACCAGGAAGTACCTTCGATGAGTTTTGCACGGATCCGTATTGAGCCTCAGTCCCAAATTGCTACGTCTTGCTTCTAATGCGTAGACAGTGAACAAACGACACTAACAATCAGACAGAAGTCGTAAAGGTCCAGCGGCAGGAACTAAGAAGACACGTTTTGGGCGGTAGTTCCATTACATCTCTAATGGAGAATCCGATTTTCACCATCCATAATTTATTGTAGCGTAAAACTTTCAAATTCTCATGAAATTCTGCCTACCCACTTATTTTCGATGGCGTTGGGACACTGATCTGAAGTTGATTTTGTGCCACCGAACCAGTTTTCTAACCCATACACTTAACACAACACTCGTAGTCACTACTCTGTAAAAAAATCAGTGTGAGTGTTCGGAGTGAATCTACTGAGTGAAATTTTTTTATAGTGTAGTTAATCACCATATTTTGGGTTCCCCTACATGCCTCTGCTCTGTGTCGGTTGTTATGCGAAACATCCTGTATATTAAATAAATACAACATATAAATATTTCTACATAAAGTTGGGTTAGGTCAGGTTCAGATTTTGGTGCCCTTAGAAATAAATTTACGGTACTTAGTAACCTTATTTCAGAGGATGGCAAAAACGGCAGAGGGGGAAGTTGTAGGTGTGACGACGTAATAACACTACGTTTAGTGGAAACGTCCGAATTAATTAATGTGAAGAAATAATATAAATATTATAAATAGCCCGGTCAAAATAGACATTTCAAATAACGAAAATTCCGACAGAGCTAAATTTTGGTGGAGTACCTTGGGTACAGCATTAGAAATAAAGTGTCAAAGGTCCCCATCGATCCCATGTGTGCAAAAAAAGTTATTCGGGGTCAAAAGTCAAAATTTGAGGTTTTTTGGATTTTTTTCGAAAACGGTATGTTTTATCAAAAAAGTAGCTCTGACAAAAATTATAGATCTCCAAATTATCTACAAAAATCTATTTTTAAGAATCACCATTCCTGAGATATCGCGATTCTAATAGTTGAGGGAGTCACGTTCTACATGATATGCACACATTTCNGATTCTAATAGTTGAGGGAGTCACGTTCTAGATGATATGCACACATTTCCACACCACCTGTGCGGTAGTGTACTTTGACGCGTTTTTTTTAACGTGGTTTCCCCGGTAGGCCTACTCCACGAACTGTTATGACGGAATTTTCAGGGACAATACTCTTTTAACTGAATGATGATTATCGATATTGATATTGGTTATTGACTTTAACTGTAGTTCTGATTTCTTTTGATTTTTCAATCTGATTCATACTCTTCAAAGTCGACTACAACAATCATGTCTTCTTCGATTTCTTCTTGTTCCTCTTCTTCTTCCTGGATGTTTATAAATTGTTCAAATGAAGATGAATCAGCTGCCTCTTCATCGAAATCACATAAATCTTCGTCTGTTGTATTCAATTGGATATTTGAGCAAGACTGGCTTTGGCAATTTTTACACGCTGGAGAACACAGCAACCTTACTTTTCTACAGCCACATTTAGCACTACAACCTTTTTTGCAATTACAAAAAATAGTGTTTAGGAGTTTTTCCAGAGCAGGTGGAAGTAATCGGTTCCAAAGTATTATCTGTTAATTTCCAACCCCAGTTTTCTGGGTTCAGTTGATTGCCTAGCCATGTCTGAACTTGATAGTATACTCGATACAAGTGTTGATTAGCAGAAGCCGATGTTGGAGGAAGACAAGATAGTTGTACTTGTTTCTTGCTTCGTGTATTTTTTACAGAAGTTAAATATCTATGTTTATCTATACAATCAAATTTTTTTGGAGTTCCTTAACAGCAAGGAGAAAGCGTATTCCTTTTGTGATTATTGCTTGAGGTGAAAAATCAGTTTCTGCAATCAATCAAATCTTTTTTTCCAAATAATTTTAATACTGATGTTTTACCCCTTCTGAACGTTGCTGATGTAGTGTCGCAGCCGGTTATCGCATGTAAAAATAAGATATGGTTTTGGCATTTTGGATAAGCAGATAAACTTTTTGAAGAATATATTTCTGTTCGCTGTTGAGCCTTTCCAGGTTTTAAAAAGTATATACATAATTTCATCAATTGGGGTCCTTGCAGTGAGTAGTATTAATAAGTCGACATCTACACCAACTACAATAGTTGTATTTGTTGCATTAAATTGTTCTATTGCTTTTTCAATTATAAGGACATCTGCGTCATTTTGACTAAAAAATTGAGTTTCTTTTGAGTGTATATTCTCAGAATAGTATAGTTTATACATATAAGAGACTCAAATAGGCATTTTTACTTGCATTATGTGCCTGACTATGTATATACGTTGCATATACAGGGTAGGAAAGTACCGATGGTATATCTGAAGTTACGTGAGAGCGATAAAGTAAGCCATAGAAATCCATGTGATAGCCAAGGATGGGTATAGTGAAGGCGTCTAATAGTCACCGCCCATTTCGCCCTTCCACAAATAAGAAGTGGATCTTATTTGTGGAAGGGCGAAACGGACGGTGACTATGAGACGCCTTCATTATAGCCATCCTTCTCCATCGCATGGATTTCTATGGCTTACTTTATCGCTCTCACGTAACTTCAGATAGACCATCGGTACTTTCCTACCCTGTATGTGCATATCATGTAGAAGGTGACTCCTTGAACTATTAGAATCGCGATATCTCAGGAATGGTGGTTCTTAGAAAAAAAAGTACAAGGGCCATTTTTGTAGATAATTTTCAGATCTATAATTTTTGTCCGAGCTACTTTTTTGATAAAACTTACCGTTTTCGAAAAAAACAAAAAACCTCAAATTTTGACTTTTGACCCCGAATAACTTTTTTAGCACACATGGGTCGGTGAGGACTTTCGACAGTTTATTTCTAATGGTCTACCCAAGGTCTCCACCAAAATTTAGCTCTGTCGGAATTTTCGTTATTTGACCACTATTTTTATGGCTAATTTGACCGGACTAAATATAAATACATTTTTCCTTAAAATTTAGTTTTCCAGGAATCAAGTATTAGACATTTAAAAGATGCATAGACCTTAGAATGTTGTAAACAGTGTGCATTCGAGTGTGTGTGAAGTGTAAATGTAAAGGGTAGATTTCGAAAAAAAAATTTTCTGGAAGACTACATCTGACCGCACAGAAATAATTTAAGGTTCGTGTTTAGCACCACCCAAAATAGGGAGATAGGCAACATAAATATTTACGTAATAGTAGATAATTGCCGGATTTTACTTTGTGGTGGGATTTTCCATAAAAAAAAATGGTTCATCGAAGGTTTTCGTTCAGATTTGTCGGTTATCTTATAAGGTATATTACCCTTGCTCTGTAAGCGTGAAGAGACAATCCATCTTTTATTTGTGGTCACGTCTGAAGGCACGTGGGTTGTTTAAATCTCGAATTTATCACCACTCAAGACATTTCTACGTCGAAGAATGCTACATTGAGCCTGCCCCTTGTATAAGGGCCGCATAGTGGGCCGTGGTTTCCAAAAAAAAAACAAATCACAATTCCCATCAACACCCAAGCCACCACACCGCACATAACCTAGCAGTCGCGACGCTTTTCACTCACAGTCCGGCCCGCGATCGAGCCGTCGATTGTCATATCGACAAAACAATAGCAAATCGCGCCGAACTCCCGACACGCGACGTAACAACGCCAACTTCGCGACTACCGGCCGAACTGAGAGCGAGACGGAGCGGCCAACTTGGATGCCGGCGAGATGCACCGGGGCGCGCCTGCGCCGCCACCGCCTGGGATGCAGTCGCGTTCATCTTTCCGGTGGCACCTCTGGCGGCGGCGGGCGGCTTGTGCCGGTTCTCGTCCCGGCTAAGGGGAGGGGTAAGCCAGGCCCCGCCTACATGTATCCACTGGTTGTTGCTAGGCGACACCCTCCATGGCATACTTTATTTAGCCCGGTCGTCAAGGTTACGCCGGATAGGCCTACTTGTGTGCGCGCTCGCCGCTGCATGTTTTATTGTAAAATAATGCGTGTTTCCAGGAACCGAGGCGTTTGATGCCTCGCCACGACGCTGCTGCCCCCGTCCCTCGGCTTCCCCCCTGGGCTTTTGTCCGGCCGGTCGCTAATTATCGCTAAGGAGGCTCCGATTTGCGAAATGACAAGTTCGACGTCCGAGAAGGGAAAAATTGGAAAATGTTACGTAATTCCGTTATAAATAATGAAGTGCGATGTGGCGGTTTTGGGAGGATGGCGGGTTTTTCGGCTCGAAGTGGGTCCGTTAAAAATAGAAGCGAACGATTCAATTTGAATGTCTGATATCTAATAGTAAACGCTTTAATTAGGCGGTCTGGCGAGGCGGCGTCGCGAAATTTACGGGGAATCTGTCCCAACAAGCGGCGTCATATTTATCATCCGCGTGTTTAACTCTAACGATTCCTAATACCTGATTAGAAGTTTTTTTTTAATACTGTCTACTAATCTCTCCAGAGTGTAAAGACGACGGATAGTAAAGTCTTTCTTAAGTCAGTTGAACATGTATAAAAACGCCTGGCAATAAAATATAATGAGTTTCATAGGCGCCCCTAAAAAAGTTTTCTGCTACAGGTAAAAAATTATAATAATTTGTACATAATGTGTAGAAAATTTCTATTATACAGAGTGTTAGTAAATAAGTGCGACAAATTTCAGGGGGTTATTCTACATGAGAAAATAATGGCAGTTTGCTTATAAACGTATGTCCGCAAATGATTCGTTTTCCGAGATACGGGGTGTCAAAGTTTTTCTTAAAAACTGACGATTTAATTTATTGCTCTGAAACCGGTCGAGATGTACAAATGAAATTTGGTGGGTTTTAAGAGGTAGTTATTGCGCATTTTTTGACACGCAATTAAGAATTTTACGTTCATCATTGGCGCGCGTACGGGTAATAATCTCAATTTTTTTAAAGAAAAAAATGGTACGCCACTGAGATATTACAAATTAAAAATCATTTTTGAATTCCTCGTTCAATTTGTGACAAAAAATCTCTCTTGCCTTTTCTTCGTACGGGGCGCCGTTTTGATGCAAAAAATAAAACATCTTAACGTGTATTTTTTATTTCTTTAATACATTACCTAGTAGGCTACTGTCAACATTTGTCTGTTAAATACGAATATTTTTAAGAAATGTCAAATTAGCGTTTCGTCATTATTAATTTATTAAGCTTTTAGTTTGCTATAACATTAGTGTTAATAAGTAATTAATTTTTCTTTTATCGAAAAGAATGGAAAATTTTACAAATGCGGAATTGTCAGACATGCATTTTGTCTATGGTCGAAGTAATGGAAATGGTCGGCAAGCTCGACGATTGTATGCTGAGTTGTATCCAGGACGTAGGGTACCTCATCACACAATATTTGCTCGTCTTCATCAACGTTTGCGCGAAAATGGTTCATTTAAGAAACAAACGGTTGACTGTGGGCGCCCTCGAGAAGTACGAACTGTGCAACTAGAAGAAGCAGTTCTCGAGTTAATTGCGGAGTCACCTGAAACAAGTACTCGAAAAATTGCCAACATATTGAATGTAAGCAACTTCACTGTATTTAAAATTCTTAAAGAACAGCAATTGTATCCGTTTCATATTGAACGTGTGCAAGCTCTACTACCTAGAGACTTTTTTCCGCGCCTATTTTTTTGCCAATGGATTAATCATCAAATCGCTCAAATTCCTAATTTTTTAAATGCCGTTTTGTTTACTGACGAGGCTACTTTTGGACGACAGTGTATACGAAATTTCCATAACAATCACTTATGGGCTGAGGAAAACCCCCATGGAATCTTTGAAGCTCATTTTCAGCATCAGTTTTCCGTAAATGTATGGCTTGGGGTAATTGATGATCATTTAATCGGTCCATATTTCCTCCCACAACGACTAACAGGCGAATCTTATCTTAATTTCCTACAGGAAGAGTTACCTGTTCTTCTTGAAGAAATTCCTCTACAGCTGAGACAACACCTATGGTACATGCATGATGGTGCACCAGCCCATTTTAGCATTAATGTACGTAATCACTTAGACACAGTATATCCAAATCGTTGGATAGGTAGGGGAGGTACGGAACATTGGCCTGCTCGATCGCCGGATTTAAATCCTCTTGATTTTTGCATTTGGGGTTTTCTTAAGTCATTAGTTTATTCCACTCCCGTTGAAAATGTTGATGACCTGAGGAATCGAATTATAGTCGGCTGTGAGACAATAAGAAATATACCAGGAATATTTGCGCGAATACGACAATCAATGAGGCGAAGAGTTGAATCTTGTGTCACGTCTGAGGGAGGTCATTTTGAACATTTGTTGTAGCTTTGCGCCTTTTCAAAATTTTATTAGTGTTATTTTCTGTTATTGTTCTGGTTTAATGTTATTGTATTAGATAGTTCTTGATAATGTATTAAAGAAATAAAAAATACGCGTTAAGATGTTTTATTTTTTTGCATCAAAACGGCGCCCCATACGAAGAAAAGGCAAGAGAGATTTTTTGTCACAAATTGATCGAGGAATTCAAACATGATTTTTAATTTATAATATCTCAGTGGCGTACCATTTTTTTCTTTAAAAAAATTGAGATTATTACCCGTACGCGCGCCAATGAAGACCATAAAATTCTTAATTGCGTATTTTAATTATTTGTCGGAGTCGTAGGGCTAACTTGGGCGTTAATATCACTACTCGTGTCACTCACTCTTCACGAAATAATAAGTAATACCGTAAATGAAATTATTTAAAATAAAACGTTACAATAAAAGTACTAGGGGTTTTATGACAACAACCAGAGGTTCGATAACGAATCCTCTGTCAACAGAATAGCAGTGTACTCAAGTCTTCAATGCTCCAGTAGAACTGCTTTCAGTACATCTCTCTGTACTTCTCTTCACTCGTCAGGTCAAAATTATTCTTAAATGAACCAATCAAATTCGTTATATCCTAGGGATTCCCTTAAAAAGTAATTTTAAGGTAAATGCTATCTATCCTTTGACCGCGGCTACGTTGAGTGACCCGTAAGTCCCTCCAAACCCAAGCTTGCCATCATAAAACTCGGGAATAACATAACCGGCTTAATTCACAAATAACTATTTCTAAGTCTTATGGTCTAGGTACAATTTATAAGGGTATTCCCTGAGTAAAGAATTCTGGAATTTCCAAAGTCTGAATGACTCGGCCTGTGAGAAAGACATCTCCGACATATTTATGTCCTCAAACAATGTTATTATATTGATGGTAAATTTCGTTTTGTTCCGCTTCAAAAGGTCTCCAAAAGGCCATGTTGTAATAGTACTAGTAAACAAAATATCCCTCCAATTTCTCCCTTTCGCAATTGTCATATGAATGATTAACAGAAGGTGCCTATAATATATTAAAATTACCTGAATCACACCAAATTCCGCATTGCTGCACTGCACCTGCTAGACCATTTGCCGACAACTGAATTTATGATCAGGTCGCCCAGTGCGGCTGTGTTTGTGCCGCGTTTGCCCGCGCGCTCATTCTTCAACTGGGCGACTAGCTCTGTATATAGGTATGGCTAAATAAAAATGGGAACAAGTTGTTCAAATATTTCAATGCCAAGTTGCTGCGTCAACGACTGAACCTGGTACATACTGCCAACCTCTTGGTTCCGAAATTGAGATCAGAGAGAATATAATACTAGAAACTTCTCACATATTTTTTCCTAATGTTCATCCTAACAAGCATATCGGGTCCCAAATACTAGAATCCCAAAATTGGAGGCAGTAACGAAACACGTAAATCGTGCAGAACGCGATTCCAGTGACGTATCATTTTAAAGATATTATTAAATGTAGAACAACGAATACTTAGATATGTCGAATTCGATAAAAACTAGATTATTCTTGCAAATTTACACTCGTCTTGGTATATCCAACAAGTAGACGGATAGGTACTTAATTATTTATACTAAAATATGTACTCAGAAATTCTATCCTCGTAGAGAAACATGGCCTACTACCTACACTCTTTTCTCTCTCTTTTTTTTATCATGGAATGTAGTCAGTGTGACCCGTCTAAGTCTACTTACATAGTACCTACTGTAATAATAAGACAGCACAAGATCAGTACTAAAAGCATAAACATCACCAAAAAATTTTTGGTCAATTGCTAATAATTGTACTTTTAATATCCTCTCATTATATTCAACATACTTCATGATTTTTTCTTTTCTTCGGGCATATGTTGATATATTTTCTCTTCGTCGACTATGGTAAGGCGTATTATCAATGGCTATCATCGCACGACAATGCATCAGTTTCGATGTGGGGCAAGTCAAAATAGGTGTAAACTATTTTTCAAATATCCCACTGTCCATAATCTTATGGTAATCTCCTATTTGTTGCGACTAGAACACACTCATGGAAACCTTTACCTAAAAATCTGTCTCCGCTTCCAATATGTGGCCAACCTCTCCCAGAGACGCCTTTAATCTTGCCAAACTATGAAGACTATGTCCTTCATTTGTCAAATTGATATTTCCATTGCAGATGGCTCTTCCGGCTTAAAATTTTGCCGACCCCTGTACTATGTACAC